AATACTTTTAATAAATCTTTTTTACATGTTGATTTATTAAGAATATTTAATTAAGTACAAATAATCTCTTCCAACTTTAGTAAATATAATTTTTAATTAGAGTGTTTAAATTCAGTTGTCTATATTTCTTTATTGTAATAATATCATTTGTATTTATTATTATTTTACATTTATTTTAAAGAGATAATTATAACATATATTAATAAAAAATATTATTTAAGTTGCTATTAATTAATAATAAATATAAAATTTTATCATGAATTTTTACATTACTATTTTATTTTAATAATAATAATAATAATAATAATAATAATAATAATAATAATAATAATAATAACCACTAAACTAAACCTAGTAAAGTCAAACAGAGGCAGTAACCATTTTTTTCACTTTTTTGTTACAATCAGACCTCAAATTATGAAACCTAATGTAATACTCCCTCTAATTTTTTTTTTAATTTTTTTATAGTTATCTTAGTCTCACAATTTTATATAAATTAACTTAATAATGTTATATAGTAAATGAATAATAATTAAAAAATTTTTAATTTAAATAAAAATATCCAACAAAAATTATGTATAAAAAGAAAAAAAATTAAATAATTATCTATTTACTATATAAATTTATTTAATAAAATATTTAAAAATTTAATTAAAACACCTAAATCCGATAAAAAAAAATTGGTAAAATGCTTCTCTTTTACCGTCCAACCTTGCAAAACAGTTTTTCTATACACTAAAATAATGCGTCTGTCTCCTTCTCCGTAAAGAAATACTACAATGTGTCTGTCACAGTGACTGTGTGTCCCGTCACTTCTCTGTCATCAACCACGCGATTTTCCTGATCCGACGGCAAAAGTGGCGTCTGTGAAGGAAGCTTGCTGTCACCCTAGCGACATATGTGCGTTTGACCTTTTTTTTGGTTATATATATACATACGTGATGCGTTTATGCAACCACTCTCGTCACACATCCTCCTCCTCCTCCTCCTTCCTTCCTTCCTTCGTTATCCTCTCCTCCCCCTTTTTTTTTAATAAACAAATACCTCTGTTTCTCTTATCTCCAACCTTGGATCTATGTGTGTATGTTCATTCTTCCTTGTAACTTGTTTGTTTTCTGCATGTTAATTTTTTCTTGATTATATCTAATTAAAACAAAGGTTTTTGTTTTATGAAATTAGTTGGGCACAGAGCCATTAATTCGTAAGCTGGATTTCTACTTTTCTTCTATTCCTTAGTCAGACATTTATAAAAACCTACACAGTATGTAATTTGAAATTCCTTCTTCTTTTAATCTCAAAAAAACAAAACAAAAAAAGCCTAATTATGTTGTAGTACTCTTTCCTAGTTGTCCGCTTTAATCCAAAAAAAGATTTTGTTGTTTTTATATAAGAAAAAAAAAGAGGAAAGTATTTAGAAAAGGATAATGGCGGAATCCGCGCCTGGTACTCCAGAGGCATCGGCACCGGCGACCCCTGGAACGCCGGGTGGCCCGCTGTTCTCTGCGCAGCGTGTGGACTCTCTGTCCTATGATCGCAAGTCAATGCCGCGAAACAAGTGTTTGCCGATTATCGCCCCGACCTGGGGTGAATCTCCCACGTGCTTCGCTGATATTCCGGCTGCTAAAGTTTCCCTGACGCGCAAGGTACTGCTTTTTTCTTTTGCACTTATTTCAGATATTAATTTTTTATTCTTTGATTAAAAATTATTTAAAAATGTAACATAGGTTCATTGATGAACTTCAATGTGAAATTCGATTTTGGGGTGTAAATCTCGTGTTTTTGGACGGATGTAGATTGGGGCGGAGTTCGTCGGAACCTTTGTCCTGATCTTTGCGGCGGCAGCAGGGCCCATCGTGAACCAAAAGTACAACGGGGCGGAATCGCTCATCGGAAACGCGGCGTGTGCCGGACTGGCGGCAATGGTCATAATTTTATCAACGGGGCACATCTCAGGAGCTCACCTGAATCCTTCCCTGACTATCGCATTTGCGGCCTTCCGTCACTTCCCGTGGACGCATGTTCCTGCTTACATAGCAGCTCAGGTTGGTGCTTCCATTTGTGCTGGCTTCGCGCTGAAGGGGATTTTCCATCCTTTTATGTCCGGCGGCGTCACTGTTCCCTCAGTCCACAATGGCCAGGCGTTTGCACTTGAGTTCATTATCACTTTTAATCTAATGTTTGTTGTCACCGCCGTTGCTACTGATACTCGAGCAGTACGTGTTTTCACCCTTTAATTACTTGATTAATTATTTAATTATGATTAAAACTTATATTTAATCAGGATCATTCACCAAAGATATTTCTTATAAATACTATTATCTCCTGCTTGCTAATGGTTTCAGTATAACTGCTCTTCGGCAATCAAAATACTTATCTTATTTCTTACAAGTTTTTTTAAATTAAAATTTTGACTTTTTATATTATAATTTTTTAATTTAAATTTTAAAAATACTATATTATTTCTTATTATATATTTCATCACTCCACCACGTATAAAAAAAATCATAATGTTTATTTTTGTCTTGTTATGAAATTCCAACCTAAAATCCGAATATCTCAATTAGTTCTATAAAATTGATATCCTCTAATTTGGGACATTGTATTATCAGCATTGCATCATGCTTATGATTTATTTCTCCTATATGTACAGGTTGGAGAGTTGGCGGGCATAGCTGTTGGAGCTACGGTGCTGCTTAACATTCTTATCTCAGGGTAACTAAGTACTTTAATTATTTTAAAAACTCTTTTTAATTTTCTAGTATTGACTAAACTTCTTTCTACCTGTTACGTAATGCGAACAACAACCCAAATCGCAATTCGTTAATTTCTCTGGAATCCACATGCAATAATTGGATGTACTTAATAGTTAGCTGTTTTTTATGTATATATAAATTACTACTACCAATAATTTTTAATTAGAAAACCATAGCATGCTCAATATTATTTAGATTAGTTACATTGTGACCCCTATATGGTGGTGTATATATAGATATATATGAATAAAAATCAATTAAAGTCTTTTGTGTGGCCCATGATGGGCAATGACAAGTAGCAAACCACCATTATTATTTTATGGAGCAATCCTCTATTACTATATATTAGTTAACCTAGTAATAATATTAAAATTTGCTACCACTCTTTTTAATAATTCTCTATCACATTTTTGTGTCTAAAACATGTATTAACTTTTTAAATTTTATTTTTCCCATTCTTTTTGTAAAAAAATTTATTAAAAATGTTTCATGGGGAGTGAAATTGAAACAAAATATTTAGTACTTTTACAAAAAGGGAAAAGCAAAAGGCTTAATTTAATAAATTATCTATTAATTATTGATTTTTTTGGTCTAAAATTTTTATTTTCTTCTAAAATTATTTATTAACTTTTAAATTTATTTTAATTTCATATAATCTAACATAACTCTGTTAATTGAATTGACAAATTTTCACATTTTTTATTGTGCGGTGCCACATAAGTGGCCACATGGGCTGAAAGCTTGAGGGAAAGTTCTTGGTATTTCTTTGCGGCTAAGTCGTAATATAAAAAATTATTTTATATGGTCAAAATTTCCGAAATAAATTGCTTTAAATGGTGAACATTTTGAAAAAAAAAAAAAGTGCATTCTTTTTCAAGCTAGGTGATTGCTTACATGGTAGCTTATGTGGAGGCTACATAATTAAAAATGTGAAATTATCAAAATTAATGTAGTTGTGTTTGACTAGACTAATTTAAAATAATTTTAAAAGGAGCAATGATTTACAAACATTTTAATTTAATATATTACACAATATATTTATTAAAAAATTATTATTTCTTGATTTGAAATTCAAGATGAAAAAATTTAAAAATATAATTATTAATTCACACAAAATATAAAAATTGACTAAATCGATTATATGTATATGATATTTTTAATGATTAAATTGAAAGTGTATCAGAAAATATATTGAACCGAATGTATATAGATCATTTTCCTTTTAAAAGTTAATAGATAATTTCATAAGAAAATAAAGATTTTAAACTAAAACAAAAAAAAAGAAGTTAATAAATAATTTATTACATTAAGCCAATAACTAAATAAATGTAAACACTTTTTTATATATCATAAACGTGAGAACTAGAAATGCAAAGAGGCAGCATAGAACAATAAAATCCCTAACCAAAGAGTAAGTAGGGGTAGGGCGGCATCCCCTTTTAATTTTATTAATTTATTAACTATTATAACTATATCCTTTGAGTATACGATACTCTTCTTAACTAAGCATTTCTAAATTTTGTTTTTGACCTTTTGATTTAATTTAGGCCAGCAAGTGGTGGTTCAATGAATCCGGTTCGAACTATAGGACCAGCAGTAGCAGCAGGAAACTACAGAGCAATATGGGTATTCCTTATAGCTCCCACGCTGGGAGCCCTAGCTGGTGCCGGCGTTTACACGCTGGTGAAGCTCCGGGAGGACGAGGTGGAAGCGCCACGGCAAGTCAGGAGCCTCCGACGCTAATCAACAAAGTTTGCTTCATGTTGTCCCTTTTCAAACAAACTGCTAAGCAACATTAATTTCATGTGTGAAAAATTGTCTATATATTTACAGCTGAAAAACAAATGTATAGGAGTGGTGTTTATAATTGTGCAGGGGTGGTGACATGATAGCTCTTGGAAAATGAGTGTGAATGAAAACAAGAGGGAGCCGCATGAGGGGGGGGGGGGGGGTGTGAGTGGATGGATGTGACATTAAGTCTCAGGCCTACAGTTTGGGTTGAATAATGTTAGGCTTGGTGGGATGGATGTGACATTAAGTCTCAGGCCTACAGTTTGGGTTGAATAATGTTAGGCTTGGTGGGGTTTGCTTATTGGCTTACCTTTTCTGATTGTGTCTCTTTTGTTTTGACTTGTGGGATGCTTTCTTCTCTCGGATACGTTTCATACAGCTTGTAAGAATTAACTAAAGGGTGTTCGTATTGTATATGTGGTTGTTGTGTATTTTGGATGCTTTTTCATATGTAGAAAGTATTCCGCAATATGGGACCAGTAGCTCAATTGATAGATGCGTATGATGAAATATTGATAATAGTTTGAGTATTTCTATAAAACTGTTAAGTGGAAAATTTTAATATAAAAAAAATTAATAAAAAAATATGTAAATTAAATATAAAGAATGTTGTTTTATTAATTATTAATTAATTTTAAATTAAATATAAACTCTATGTTAAAACTTATATACTTAATTTTTTTTTTTTAAATACAAGAAACATTAGAATATGTTCATTCATCTCACAATAATGTTGTTCACTATAAAGTGAGAGCTTTAATTACTCGTATATATAGCTCTAGCATTTTATTGTAATTGATGGCCGTGTTAGCGTAAATGATTAGTAATGACGGAAGGATCATGCTATGGAGATCACGTAGAAGCAAGATAGTAGAGAAATATGCCATACTCGTTGGCATCACGTAACCATGGCCATTGTTTAATTAAATTTAGGTATATGATTATGGTTACCAAAAAAACTTTAGGACTATTAATCATTATAATATATCATTTTTAAAAATATTAATTTTACTTAATTTAATAAAAAATAATTAATAGTTAATAAATAATTTTTATTTATTAATTAGTAAATTAAAATTAATCAATAAATTAATATCTTTAAATACTATTTTAAAAAAATTAAAATTTTAATAATTTTAACAATTTGGTTCGAAGGAAACAACAACCACACCCTTTCATAGAAAGACTAGAGAATTATATACGATATTGGTTGGCATCACGTAATCATGCCCTTTGTCTTCGAATCAAATTGAGATTCGAGGTTGAGTGCTGTGGAGACCATTTTGGACGAGAGAACATACACCTTGACCACTTAAAATATAGATTGTATTATAATGGTAGAATTCGAGTTTGAATTCTCAACCAAGATACTCGTCCAGCTGGTAAAATAGTAAATGCAATATTGTGTCGAAGACATTTGTTTCTTATAAACCTTGAAACATTTGAGTAATTTGACAATAAATATAGATAAACAAATTTAGCACCACCTGATGCTAGTACCATTCAGGCAGATGTATAGTAGAATGTGTGCAAAATTACACACCTTATAATAATAAGCAAATAACATAATAACATAGATGTTCTATATCACTTCTGCATGGGCTGTTCCAGTAATTAAAACTTCAAACTTTTTATTAGAGATTTTAAATCCACATTTTATAATAAATTAATAATAATTTTTTTAAAAAAATATTATCTTTTATTGTATAATTCATTGTTAACTTTTTTTTTTTTGAACGGATTTTACAAGGGATGGGTTCAAACCCCAACCCTGGAAGAGGAGAGAATGCACCATGGATGGCTATTGCCACTTCGCCCGAAGGCTCGGTGCCATTGTTAACATATTAATTAAACAACAAAAAATAATAATAATAGACGAGTGATTTTCATCCTCTTACCCTCCCAAAACAAAAGGGAAACAGATTACAAAACTAATTGGTACGTAATTAAACATTATCGCCAAGATTATCAAATGAACTCCCTTTGGATGCACCCAGAAGCAAAGATGAAGAGGATGCTTCCGCAGCTATATACGAATTGGCAAAGCCGTAAAGGGGTTGGTTGAACATCTGATAATATGGCTTGCACCTCTTGATCAAAAAGCCTGAAGGTCTTGCCCAAGACCAGAGTGTTATCTGACCAACCTATACCATCCAGATCCATAATTTCAGCACTAAGTTGGATGTTTGCGGATAGGGAGTAACCTTCTATCTTACTACTTCCGGATCATCATCTTCATCGCTTTGACTTTTAATCTTGTTCATCTGTGTAATCAGCATCTCATGCACTCTACTCTTTAGCTGCAGGGACAAATATCATGAAGAAGCTTGACAGCAAAGTAATGAAATGGATTCAATGAAGGGTAGAAGATACAAGATACCAGCAGTTTAAAAAAAAACTAAAAGGAGGTCTAAGGTTAATGGATAGTTACCTCATCAAGCCCTTGTTCATTTTTCACTGATACATGAATTGCTCCTTCTGGACCCATTTTCCGGTACCTTGCCATTTCAAGGTGATCAGCATCGATGTCTTCTGTGATGAAGACCGCCGGACGTTCTTTTAACAAATCACATTTTGAGACTACATCAAGCCATAGATGCTCATTAAACCTTTCCCTTATCTCTTTATATATCTTGAACTGCAGAATCCAACATCAGAAAAACCAACAAAATCAATGAAGTCCGAAAGGAAATTAATTTTGAATTTGAAAAATTATCTTAAAAAATGAATTTGGGAAATCATAACATAAATAGTATAATTACAGGAGAGAGAAGACAGCTTTTGTTGGAAAATGAGATGAAGACATTCTTAGATTGATTGTGAGAGAGCTAGAAACCAAACAAGTGAGCCATGTTGGCTTGTTAACAATGACACAACTTACAAGATAAAATAAAATTCTTCCATTCCAAACTAAAGTATGCACAAATTAAGACATGAAACTTCACAACTGGTGACACTACATCTAATAGTCAAAATCTTTTTGACGGAAAACTTTTGCACCAAATGATTCTCTGTCAATGGTGAGAAAAAACAGGATGTGCCTGCATGGACAATGCCATTCGTAGCTTTATTACATGAAGTAAACATATTAATATCTTGATACAGATGAGGAATCTGTGAGCATAATGATGAAAAATATATCATGGAATACCTGATCAGAGGGTGAGGTGCCACATTCTCCAGATAGATCATGAACAAAGAGTATTGCCGTTGGCAAATGTGATAGGACAGCAAGAGTTAACTTTTCTAAATTATTCCTTTCCTCTGTAGTTGGAGGGCAGAGAGAAAAAAAAAAAAAGGAAAACAAAAATAAAACAAAACAAAAATGTCATTACATGGAGAAATTATACAACAGAATAATTTTAAAGAAAACTAACAATTTATCAACATATTCGATAGCATCCATTACCATCATGTCTCTTCAAGAGGCCAGGTGTGTCAGTCACCTGCAGTCAGTTTCTAGGCATAAACAAATTATTTAAGGGATATAAAAGCCAATAGTTATTGAAGAAAAATGTAACCTGAAAACGTTTGTAATTTGACATGATATGACCCATCAGAATTCCTCTAGTTGTAAAAGGATAGTTGCAGACCTAAGAGGTTTAAAAGAATTAACTGTCAACAACAGCACAAAGGAACTGTAAATATAATTTAATTCATGCAAATATCTTAATTCTAATATGTACTTTCTTGACCAAAATGACCAGAGTTGAATCGTTCTAACATGCTAAAATGCATTCATTGAGCTGTTCCAGAGACTAAAATGTATTTAATGAGGTATTAACATGCTTCTCCCCCGTTAATTCTCCATAAAGTTCATATTACACTATGCACATACAAAAAATGATAGAGCAAATCAAAATTACTAAGAGAATTATGCAAACCTCAGGCTTCCCTGTAGAGAGGATTCGAACCAAGGATGACTTTCCTACATTGGGTGCTCCAACAAGACACAGAGTCGGTGTTTCCAGATCAACAATTGGCATGGCCCGCAAAGTCTGCAAAGAGGATAATGGCCTGTCAGAATGTAGTAGTTCTAACAAAATCCAAGCCTATAAGCTGAAAATGCATAAAGTGCTTGTACTTCAAGAGAAGCAGAAGGCATGGCAGATTATACAACATAGATTAGAATTTAGAGCAACTGATAACCTAAGAGTTTAAAGACTAATAGAAAATTTATACTCCAAGATTCAAAGACAAATTGGTCCAGAAATTGCAAAGTGGCAATGAGTCAACAGAGAGTGACGGATTCAATTCATCAAGATCTGAAGCAGGAACTGTGAACCAGTTCAATGACAAACTCTTGGGCTGGTATAAGTTGATCTCAAGTTTAAGAATAGTAAAAAAAAAAAAAGGCATGCCAAAAGGGTAGGGTCATAAGTGTGTAGTGACCAATATCACTTCAATTTTGAATCAGGCAAAGATTATGGAAGTAATTATAATTTCATTAAAGAGCCATGCTTAATACCTGAATACATTCATGATATGCTATGTTATAATTGTTTGTGGAACAGGAAAAAAACCTGTGTTGAAGTACGCAAGAGTAGGGGTGTAATCAAGCTGAGCTTACAGTTCAAGGCTCAAGCTCAAAGGAACTTTAAATATTGATGGTAAAAGCACACATATGTACTTGATCCTAAAAGTACACATAGGCATGCAATGACAATACATGCATATAAATTCATATATCTTCCAAAGTTCCAATCTGCTAAGGAACTAAACCGGGAAAAAATAAATTTCTTAAGTTATTTTAGTTCAAAATCATTGTATTTACTATTTAGACCAGAAGTCCATGCTTTAAGTACCCAAAAATCATGTATGTTGTATGTTATGTGATACTTGTAGTTATTGTGAAAAAAATAAACCTGTGTGGAAATAGTATGATTCTCACCAAATAATCTGCCAAGAGGAAAATATCAGCACAATCAAAATCCTATTTCCCATCACAGGGGTTCTCTAGCTTGCACATGAAATGGTCCAATGATCAGAGTATGCTACTACATGTACCAGAATGCATGCACAAGCGAACAGAAATGCAGGGATGCATGCACAAATTACTTGCATTGACCACACCACAGTAAATAATTAAAACACAAAATAGAAGAAAATAAGACCAATACTTTGGCAATGTTCAGTAAATCATCTACAGCCTTCCCTTCACTTTTGAAGATTTCTTCAAGTTTCTCCAAACCCTGCAGATAAAATATAGGAAATAAATAGTATTTACACACTCAAACAGAACCCTTATTTTGCAATCAGATGGTAACCAACCCCGTTCAACCGTTCAACTGCTTCTTTCTTCGATAAGGACTGCAAAAGAGGAATACATGAGTTAGTTTACTTTTCTACAGATCAGAACCAGTTAGCCTTCAAGAAAATTGAACAGGGTGTTCATTAATAAAGATGTTTATCTACCTCATTATTTAATACTCACAGCTCCAAGAGATGGAAAGAAAGCTACTGTTAAATGAAAAGTTTCAAACTAATATAGCCAAGTTAAATACTTCTCAAACACACACAAGATGCTGGAAATAGCCTACATCCAGACAACTAAGAGAATACATAAATAGTTGCAGGACTCCATCCTTCACCAGATGCTCCAACATAAGGCAGTGCATGAACAATGAATGGAGACAACTGTGAAGGAAAGCAGTATGTTAATGCAGAATCCTTATTCCTTGCTAGGATGAGTCATTAGCTGAATTATACCACATACAATAAGATACAGTTCATTATGCTTCTTAATTTCAGTCCAACTTATATAAAAAATAAAATAAAATCACAGAGGACAAATCATTTGCCTTTATGATGCTAAAATATAGAATTTCTAACAGGAAGCTTTTTTTAAAAAAATAGCATAACTTATATTTTGTTAATCATGCAATAAGTGAACCAACAGAGGCTGCCACTTAATGCTAAAGCCTCTTCAACTACCGGTAATTCAGCAACAAGAACCCCAAGAATCAACTTGAATGAGTCTTCAAGACAAGAATATAATGTACATTTTACAAATAATGAATCAATCACAGTTGGATCAAAATGTTACAGCAATTTCAAATTCAAGCAACCAACTAACAAGGAGAAATGGAAAGGAACAATTTGAAATATAATTTGGAGATAAGACTACAACCTTAGCACAAAGGGAGGCATATTCCTTTCCAGCAGATACTACTTTTTTCCTCAGAGCATCTACTTTTCTCAAAACCTGTAAGCCAATTAGTACGTAAGGAAAAAAAATGGCACTTAGAAAGGAGGAATTGGTAATATGTACCTTCTATATATTGTAAAAGGTCTTACAACAACCAAGGAAGCTATCTCAACTTCCTTTCTGGATTGGCCAAAAAAAAAAAAGGATATTTCTGGATTCTTTTCCTGTACAACCAATGGGAGCAACAATATCAATAGGATTTGCTAAGCTCAGTCTTTTCCTTCCTAACATCACTGGATGGGACTCCACAAAGAGACAAAAATGATCTCTAGATGGGGTAGGGACTACTCATGGATGGATGAAGAGCATTATAGTCTTAACAAGTTGTTTTGACCAATTTTTAACCAAGATATCTTCATCCATTCAAAAATGAGGAATGATACATTAGTTCTCTCTAAGGGTACACTTCATTCCAAAAGTCAAACTTAATACGCTATTTTCCAAAAATGATCTTAATATCATCAAAAATCAACACTGAGGGACTCAGAACTTACCTCTTCATAGTTTCCATCCCCTAGCGTCAACTCAACAAGAGATCGCTCATAAGGGTGCAAGTACTTTTTATTAGGGAAGTTATCCACGTACTCTCTCAATGGAACTGCCAGTTCCTAAGGATAAAAACATATACCATGAAATGCAAACTTTAAGTAATTTGTTCCCTAGTAAAATATAGTAGTTGCTTTTTAAAAAATAATAATAATAATAACACAACAGATATCAAAGATAAAAATGTACTTTCATCAGAGCATCAAGTTGCTTTGAACCTTTATTTCTTTCTCTCTTTGCAATGTTGGCAATGCCTATGTCGAAAGAAAACAATGTTATGTTAAGCGAGCCGATTCTAAAGCTGCAAATTATTCATACATAATAAGAACCACTAATATTGTCAATTACCTTTTGTAGGTGAGACCCTTTTTGCCTTCTTCAAGGCAGAACAGAAAATATCAACTGATGGCTTCACCATGGGCAACTTTTGAAATGCACCAACATTTTCAACTTTTGTTGATGTTCTATCCTTGAATTAAGTACAAAACAAACATCAAACTATCAAACTCAGTTCACAATTTCAGCTTTATAAATAGTCATATTGGTTGAGAGAAGCCCCTCTCCACAATTTTCCAGATGCAGAAGAGGGCTCATGCATGTTGTGTATGGCTCTAAACACTAGATACAATCACCAGTTGGCCATAACTTACATGATCATGGATTCCTCCATTGGTTTTTTCTTTTTTCCTTCGGGATGAATTAGATTCCTACATCTTGCTTAGATGGCATCATATGAATTTGTTTCATTTCAAATTCTGCATCTTATAGTCTTCTACCAAGAACAATCTTTTATTAAAGCTAGCCTCCTACAACTTTAATCCCTCTAGCCAATAAATTTTATTGATCCAAAAATGAAACTTTATGTTGTCAGTTTTAACATTCCAAATTAAATGTGATCAATAGCAACAAGAAATTACCTTAGCTTCATTCTGTTTTATGGTTTGGGAACTGGGAACATAGCTGGCATTAACAACTTCATACGTCACTGTCTGAATTGTTCTACAGAAGCACAAGGCTTCATGTTTTATTGCTTTGTGCATCACATACAAACCTGCAGCCAAATCACCTTACGTGAGACCAAATGGAAAAATAATATATATCAACAGATGAATATAAACACAACTTAACGAAAAAAACAAAAAAAGAAATTTTCATTGCTGAGGAAAGAAGCACTTAACCTTCTGTAAATTTGAAGTCTCTTGCAAGAAATTTGGTATGCGGTCTCTGCCATAAGGGAAGTAGACTATATGAACGGATCATTCTCACTCCTTTAATGTCTCCCAATTTCGAAAAATGGTGAAAGTCACTTTAAGGGTCCATGATGTAGAATATCATCCTCCTCTTGGCAGCCATAACTCAAGCACCAAGTTGCAATATTATGAATTTAAGATCCTATTCAAATTAGCAGAAGCTTTTTCTAAATTCTTGTTTGAGTAAAGCTTTTCAAGAAGTCCTGAGGAAAGAAACTGAATTAGCTTTCAGTTAGCCCTAAAACAGAAAAATGCTTCTATGGTAGAGAACTAACAACTTAGAGAAGCAGTTTTCTTCCTTCTTCTTCTTCTTCTTCTTTTTTGCTGCATTTTTTATGTTTTTGTTAAACATGCTACATATGTGCCTTATGTTTTTTTTATCAGTTATGGTTGACTAAAAAAGAAAAGAAATGAACTATTATTTCAGTTACCATTAATGATGCCGTATTTCACTCATTTTACAGCCATTTGTGGAGGGAAAAATAACAAAAGCTTCAAAAGAGCCTCAAAGAGATTGACTAGCAAGTAATAATCTAACAATGCTTGTTACACATTCCTCGCAGCTAAACTTCTTTGGGATTTTTTGCTAATTCGAAACAGAAGTATACATGATTTCAACTTGAACTCTCAAAGCAGGAAAGAATGCAAGGAAAGGATAAGCATAATTTTGGACATATTCAACAAAACATCATATTCACTTCATTCCGTGTGGTTCGGCTAACATTCTTTGAGAAATTTTGTCGAACATACTCAGTTCATCATGTACAACTTTGACTGCTATTGTCTAATTGAATACCATTACCCAGTTCGAATAAAAAAAGAAAAGTAACAGATAAAGATCACAACTTTGCTTCATTCTAGTGGAAAACAAAGCACGGTAAAGGATTCAAAACATCCATACTTGCATTACTGATGAACTGCAAAACCAGAAAATCTAAAGTCTTTTTCTCAATAAACCAAAGTAATACTACTTTTGGTATTTAGAAAGGAGGAAAATACCTATCGAATTCCATCTGCAGCATTTTCTCGGAATCAAACAGAACATAATCAAGCAAAAACAAAATGAAGCGAGAAAAAACAAAGGACTACGAAGAAAAGGATAAAAAACCATAGAGGGGAATAGGGAGAAGCACAACCACAACCAGAAGGAATGCAAGCGATTAACGATGCTACCTTTAGAGTCAGGACTATCACATGATAAGCCACCAGAGCCAGTCAACTAAGGGAGATGGCAAGAGCTTTATGCGATGGAAGAGGAGAAAAGAATGACGAAAGAAGAATATAGAAAGAAGGCACGGAGCAGCTAGCTTCGCCGGCGGGCAGCAGCAGCAGCAATGTCGGGAAGAAGAGGATAAACGAGTTTTAGTTAGGTTAAAACCCAAAATTTGGTCCCTGTACTTTAGAGGAAGGCCCTTTTTCTGTCCTATACTTTAAAAATCCCCCTTTTAGTCCTAAAGTTTATTTTTCCAACCCCTTTCCGTTGATTTTTTTTTTTTTAACATCTAAAAATAATGAATTATACAATAAAAGATGGCTTTACCCTTTTCCTAAATTCCTTTTCATCTAATTCAATATTCAAATTTGAAATTTCTAATTTTAAATTTTAAATTTTTAACTATTAAACCACCCTTTAAAAGTAGGTTAAATGCTAAATTTGGTCTCTCAACTTTAGTGAGTTGCACATTTTTTATCCCTCAACAATTTTTTGCACTTTTTTGATCCCTCAACTATACAAAATGCACTCCGTTAATCCTTCTGTTAATTTGAGCCATTAACTCGACCACATGACATTTTTTATATTTTTTTTATGACATGGCGAACACAACTTAAAAAGATGCTTATCTAGACTTTTTTTCTTTTGATGACATATCATCTTCTTCACGCACACCTCCAATGGATTCCAGTTGCCTGCAAACTGGTCTCTCATCTTCACCCTCTGCAACATCGATCTTAACCCATTTCTTCTTATTCTTTGAATGCTCTCTCATCTTCACTCCATCTGCAAAATCGATCTTAATCAATTTCTTCTTCTTTCGTGAATGTTCTCTCATCTCCACTCCATCTACAAAACCGATCTTAGCCCACCCATTTCTTCTTCTTCTCTTTTCTCGGGAAAACTTGAGCTACTGGGTTTCATTGAAACCTCAAACCTGGCATATCTTACCAAATCAAAAT